TCATGGGAAGAGTGATTCGACGGTCAGTAGCAATAGAAATTAGCGCAAAATCGCCCTTCCCCTCCCCTTGAATTAAATAGCGCCTGATCTCTCTTCCCACCACGGTCAAGCATACCCCGCGGTATCCACGACGGGGGGTTGTATTTGGTCCCTTTCGACACATTAGCGATGTAGCCTGCAGTTGCGTTCGAAAGGAAGTCGAGTAAATGGCGCATTCCATGGAAGTGTTGGTCAGCACCTCTGCGCTGCAGTTCTTATTCACATGTCTTACCAACTTTTTAGATGACAATGTGAGCTCTAAAGGGGGATGCTCATACTGCACCTGTAGCTGACTTAGGGCTGGGCGATTTTTTGATACAGCTAAGTAAGCTATATCAAAGATGTTGTGCAGTTGGAAAGAGAAAAAAAATGCAGTCCCTGCAACCGCTTAAGTTTTCTCTCTACGTTATGCTTGAAGGGAATTATGGTCTCTGGAAGATTAAAAAAACCAAGCGTTCGCCCGAAATTCTCCGCCTAGTTTCTGGTCTGAAGCCGGCATAGAAGCTTGATGAAAGCTGTGGTGTGAATAGACCTTGCCCATACAGCATGAATCATTCTTACCGCTCTGAGAAAGATGGTTTCGAATGATGTTACACGCTTTTAAAAATACTACATATGTGAATGCAATGGGTTGATAGTTGGCAAATTGCTGACTGCAGCATGTAGAACGGGCCGACAGTCTGACTGCTCGAATAAAAAAGCGAATCTTATCGACAGGATGGAACCAGAAAGCCTTTTTTGAAGCACATTCAGTTCTGATTCACATCCTAGAATGCTTAAAGTTCTGCACTGATGTTGCATTGTCGTTCAGCCCTAGCTGAAACTGAAAGACTTTTCCATCTATAAGATTTTTGTGACACTCTTTATTGTGGGCCAGTGGCTACCTCAACTGTTTGTTGACAGGAACGTCCAGAGCTTTCTCACCCCTGTTAGCTTCCTCCTCGACAACCCCGCGTACTGGTCTGGGACACACTAGGTTGGTCGAAAAGGCAATACGCTTTGTTGAGGTTTGATTTTTTTTCCTTGTTTTTTTATCAATATGTAATACAAAGCCGTGAAAGGCCACACTCCGCGATAAACTAAGGCCTATAAGCTCAGCTCTGCAAAATGTGCTAGATTTATCCCGCCTACGGCGAGTGAGCAGGCCAAAAAAAACACTGAAATTTGGAATTCCAGTGCCGGAAGCTGATTAGGCTGCTCAATAAAGCACCCCTAGGCCCACTGCCGACCTCAGACTGGCCTTATCATTTACTAGCCCTTATTTACCCCTTCTTACTACCCTCACCATTCGCAGTGAGGTGAAAATATGACGGCATAAAAGAGCTTTTATCGTCATGATAACAACATGTGAGAAATCCCGCAAACACGCCTTGTCTTCACTGCGCGCGCGTACGAGCTGGCGGCGGCAAGGGGTTCTACATAGAGCATTCCGGGACGGTTCTTTTCCATGCTCAAGTACAGTCCTCTGTTGAGATTAGGTGATTAGTCACCTATATGCTATCTGTGATCGCGAGCTTTCCCTTTAACAACGTAGTCGTCATTCTCAGTCACCACATTTCCATCTGGTCAGTCCGGCCGTTATCAATGCTATGTGCATGGATGACGCGTTTTGGGACAGTGAACTCAGATCTGATGAAACGATTCTCTGAACGGAGTTATGGACTGGTATTTTCACCGCGCCGTTGTTTTATATACCGTCGTAGGGTGACTTGGAAGCTTCTTTTACATTTACCAGGAGAAGACATCGCAATGTAGCAATGCGCAACCTGGTAGGTTGAGGGCATCCCAGTAGACAGGAGGCCGTGCTGGAATGGGATCTCATCTGAGCACACTATTTTGCGAACATGGCCACCAATGATTTCAACGTCGGTGGCTGGAGTTACTTGACTATAAGAGAGCCGGCAACTAGTTTTTTTTTCAAGTGTAGACCTGCGCGACCTATAAAAGAGCTTGTGCTTGCCTTCGACGCAATACATGTCACAAGTATTCATATGCAGCAGTACAAGTAACGCCTTGGATACGAGTTTCTAGCCAAATCTGGAATTTTGACTAAATATCGAAAAAGTGGGGTATAATGGTGAATAGCACACAGCTTCATGGCCCCTCATCTACCATGACTGCACCTTGCCATAGAATCTGCCTATCCCAATCGGGGGGGGGGGGGGGGGGGGGGGGGGGGGGGGGGGGGGGGGGGGGGGGGGGGGGGGGGGGGGGGGGGGGGGGGGGGGGGGGGGGGGGGGGGGGGGGGGGGGGGGGGGGGGGGGGGGGGGGGGGGGGGGGGGGGGGGGGGGGGGGGGGGGGGGGGGGGGGGGGGGGGGGGGGGGGGGGGGGGGGGGGGGGGGGGGGGGGGGGGGGGGGGGGGGGGGGGGGGGGGGGGGGGGGGGGGGGGGGGGGGGGGGGGGGGGGGGGGGGGGGTAAGTGCATGTGGAACGCGAA